CCCCCCCCCCCCCCCCCAAACCCTGAAATAATTGACTCGTTTTGTCCCGTTTTCTGCAGGTTTCTACACTTGTTTGCGCTTTGCTACCACGCTCAGGTACGTCACTGCTTTTGTTCCTTCACATATAGCACGTGCTTTGTAAAGCTAGTTTTTTATTGTGATGAGTAAAACAAGATATTATCTGTAGAGCACCCTAAACACGCAGCAGTCAGGGCGCATCGTAACGTGATGTGATGGCTCCCACAGCGCGCGCGGCAGCGGGTGCACGGCCTGCTGGCAGCTGGCTGAACACCGGCCCTGGCACAGGACGCGCGGGCACAGACGGTTCATGAGGGCAGGAGGAAATAATGAAAAATATCATAATGATCTCACGAGGTTCAAAATTCAAGGTTTATTTTTTTTACAACACTCAACTCGTTTGGATTGTAAAAATTTTTTTTTTTAAATTCTGATTTAGGCTAAACTATAAAAAATGTAAAGCAGATGTTCTGCGGGTGTTAAAAAAAAACTAAACAAAATCTTATCATTTGTTCAGCTCAAGATAATTTGGCTCCTTTTCCTTTTTTTCCTTCCTCTGTGCGTAAAGGCGCACATTTTCCTCTCCGCACAGCCTGTAATCACACAGCCCGTGTTTTTGAAAGCGGTCACCTTCATTTAGACACATTTCCTCCTGGAACTCATCACACTCGTCAAAAGTAAAAAAAAAAAAAAAAAAAAAAAAAGAAGAAGAAAGAAAAAAAGGATGTTCTTGTTGTTTTGGTTGCTCCACTTCAGCCTGAGGGCGCACAGAGGGATCCGCGTTGATCAGGATTAAACAATAAATACTTAAATTGACAGAAATTAAATTAAAATAGGCCAAATCGAGTAAGTGAATAAATGATTGTGATGCATCTAATTTCTGACAGGTAACCAATCAGTCCCCGCCTAATTTCACGCAGCATGTAAGCGAGCAGAGCAAAGTGACAGACCGCGTGAGCCGCAGGTTGATCCGGATCTACCAGCTGTACAGCCGAACCAGCGGCAAGCACGTGCAGGTCCTGCCCAACAAGAAGATCAACGCCATGGCTGAGGATGGAGACGCGCACGGTAAGAGAAGGACCACCCAACATTTGTCCATCACTGAACATGTAAAATAATCACTGAATGACGTCATGTTTCCAGGTTTAACTTCAATCACTCTCTTAGCTCCTCATTTTTAAATTTAGACATTATTCTCTTCAATGTCCCTTCAGCAAATCATCTTTTAAAGATGACTAATTTTAATTGATCATTTAATTTTATCTTAGAAAACTACACTTTAAAATGGTCGGGTGTTTGACTTTGATCAGGTTTAAAATTAACTTAGAGGGAGGTTTTTATTTTATTATTATTATTATTATTAGTTAGTTATTGCCCATTTTCTTTCTTTCTTTCTTTCTTTCTTTCTTTCTTTCTTTCTTTCTTTCTTTTTTGTGTGTGTAATTACAGTCAGCATTTTTTTTCCAAACTGACCCAAATTTACTTTCAAAATTCATGAAATTGTGGAAGCTGGACTGTAGTGAATATCAGTCAGAGTCAGAGAGTCAGAGTCAGAGTTTCTTTATTGTCATTCGCACCTCATGTGGTACATGTGGTGGAGCGAAATTATGTACACAGGGTCCCAGTTACATCCAACAATAAAATGTATAAGAAAAACAGTAATAACATCTAAGATATGAAGTTATGAATATAGTGTATGATTAAAAAAATAACACATTTGTTTTATATGATTTTGGTTTTGATATTTTTAAAAAGCATACATGGAAGAGGTGAAAAAAGCAAATGAGTTAGCCAGACCTAATTTGTTTATAATCAACTGATAATCACTGCCCGTTCATCTATTAACAAGATGCAACAGGTTTTTTTTAAGGAGTTCAGTTTCCCAGTGAAGGGGGTGAGTCTTTGAGGAACCATTTGTGGTTCCAGTTTGTGGAGTCAGAGGAGGCTCAGGCCTCAGTGCAAGCACCCAGTGGGTTGTCCAAAGCACTAAAGGTGATCCTCCAGAGATCCTGCAGGTCTGGAAGAGTCATTAGAAGTCATCCTCCTTCTGCCTCCACAACATTTCCTGCATAGCTCCTGTTCCCCCTTCACCCCCACCTTCAACCCCGCTCCATGCTGCTCTCCTGTTCGTGCGTCTCTGAAAGCCGTCACTCAGCTTCGACAGTTTCACACAGTTTCAGTGCTCTTGCTCCCAGCTGCTGCACAATGTGTGTGAGCTGCTCTGGGTGTGTGGCATCATTTTATTACAGGAGAAAGTGTGTAAGTGGAAACACAAGTGCATGTTTTACCCAATTTGTCCTTTCCAGACTCCCACTG